AATTCACATCAATGAACCGAATACACGTAATGTCTGACAATAGGATGGTGTAAGCGCCAGTATCGTTGCACCTGGGGGATTGTAAACCGGGTTTCGTAATTTGGTCTCCATCGGCATAGTGTGAGGGGCTGTACCCGTGCGACTATTTCTCTTCGCTTTTTCTTTCACATGCCACTCCAGTGTACCCAAAATAGAATGTTTTCGAAAGCTACCCATATTGAAAACGGTGGTCGTAGAATAGAAATGCGTGGCATGAAGCGTCAAGTGGGCCTAGTGAGCTCGGGCTCATCTCAGATTCCCTATCGCACAGTACGTGTGCCTCTAGAGTTCAACAGCCAACTAGTCGCTTACAATCACTGCCGTCAGAGTTAAGCAGAGTGACGCAGTGAGTTTTATATCCATGCATTCGGTCTACATGCACGCTTTTTCTTTAGTTCAAATTTAGAAAAGAAGAAGGAATGTCTCAAATGAAAGATGAAAGGGAAGGGTATACGAAGTAGTATACAGGTGCAGTAGAAGCCGGCCTGGATTCCCGTTATTGGATTGTGAAGTACTGCTGAGTGAATATATTGATTATTGAATTTCCCTTATTGCTGAACTCAAGATGGGTTCTTTTCAAAGTACGTGCCGATTGGCTGAGCTTGGGCCTCACGACACCGGCTTATGCAATAAGGGTAAGCGTTTTATTGATATTAACGTGTTATTTTTTAGATACCGATGCGCAAAAGCGGCAGAACGAGTGGGGGAATCAGACAGATTGTACTGGCGAAGGCTAAGCCTGACATCGACTTCAAACAATACTACAATTCTCGAATAAGCGTCATACAAAGATCATGTGACGTTAGATGCTCTCTTATTGCTCGAGAGATGACCTCTTTGGGCCTTACAACAATTTCAATCTTTCTATGCTTCAGGGACGAACATTTGTTTGCTTCGAGTTTATATTTTCGAGCTATTTTCTTCACTTGTCGATGGCACTGGCGCCTTTATCCCTCTGGCCCTTATCAATTGATTATCTCTTACTCGTTCATATTTAGTAGTTATCGAAAGATCAAGGCGAAAGCACTTCCAAGTTTTGAGGATTCCTGCAAATGTAATGCGAACACAAATAGAAATGGGGTACTAAGCGGGACGACGAGTTCACACAGATGTCGTTAGCTGTTGCCTGGTTTGTCATATGTCCTTTTCAGCATGATATGACAGCCTGTATCTTCATAGGCCTCTGGAAATAACCGCTATGGCGTCGTTTCGTTCCAAGACCACGTGGCTAGTAATAGCGGAACCTACAGAACCCTGTTTGCTCATAAATCCAAGCAATAATTTGATTTTTGACTTTTGGTAACTCTTGAGTAGAACGGATACCCTGAGGAGGGTATATGAATGATTTTAAGCATTTTTGCCATAACCTACAAATATTTGGAAGCTTGGAGGTGCTTGGAACAGGTTAACCAGTGTAGTCGTGTTCTTAGCCATCTCACTGAAAGCGCCGTACTCTCCCCTCAGATGCAGTGCTTGGAGTTTGACTGGGTAATTTATAGACCTGGCTTGGTTCGAGAATAAATCATGAAAGTCGATGGGTAAGCCTAAGAACTCCACAGAGGGACAAGATTTGATTATCCTCGCGATATCTTGAACGGTGAATAGCATAGAGGGCATACAGAAATCTATGTCCTGTCGAATATCTATTGTGGCTGATCGCAACCTGGGCCCATGTGTTTCGAGATGGCCTAGAATTCTGGACCGTAATCTTTGACAAGAGTCTCCTAGTTTCGAAGGAGCTAGCGACCTGCCGTAGCCTTCTTGTCCTACTAGTTGGGGTAGGCTTTCTAGGCGAAGAGATAACTCTTCTAGGCGACGATTTTCCTCCAATGAAACGAGCAAAGAACGAAATGTTCTTCGTGACAGTCGCCCAGAAAGGCGAAGCACTTTCAAAAGCTGCAGCTGGTGACCTGATAATAGTCTATGCATGAACGTCTCGGTACCTGAGCAGTATCTAAGATCAAGCCACCTTAGCCTCCAGGATTCTTCCGGGACAAAATGTTCTACTGTACAGTTTTCAAGACAGAGCTTACTCAAACAATCAAGGCTGGCAGTCCTCAACAGGGGTAAGTGGTAATTAGATCCGCGCTTGGAAAGTCGTATATGGAGATGGGATATCTGTTTGCAATTGGACAGATGCCAACGAAGCCATTCAAGCTGAGTGGCCGATACGGCGCCTGCATAGGTTAAGGAATTGAGGCCGCCGAAGTATGTATTAAGTGGAACCCAGGAAGAGGTGGTAGAGAAAGCTGTGACTCGCTCGGGACGTAAGTTCATCCTCATTAGTATAAGGCTTAGAAGTTGAGAATGCCCCTGTGTCCAGATACTAGATCCCGTGTTCAAAAATTCCACGGACCTCACGAACTTCATGAGCTCCGGATTATGCATTAGAGTCCTTAATAGTAACAGCGTCTGTGGCCTTATGTTTCCATTGTCGAAATCAAGGCGTAGTACACGATAAAGCATAGGTTTGGCCTTTTTGTGAATTGACCTGCTGCAGCTCACCAGGCTATGTAGATCACTGACAGACAGATAATCTATCAGCATCCAATACACTTTTGGAGGCAATGAGTCCATAGCAATAGCACTTGTGATATATGATAATGCTCTCTAAGTATTAATTGCATAGACAGAAGTTCATTAGTTGACACTGGAACGAGACAATCAATTATACTTTCTGTTCGCTCGAGTTGAATAGAATTAATCTCTGTATGATCTCGTAACAAAACTAATTATAGAAACTAATAATAGCGCCTCATGCATGTCAACGAGTCACTTACCACGATCAACGAGCGCCAAGGCTCAAGGTATCTAAAAATAATCTGTCATAGCGTTGCTAATGTTGTTGTCATTGGTGACAATCCAGGTCCCAGACTTGGCAACGATAATGTTGGGGGTAGTGATGACGCATCAGTTGTCACATTCCGGCCGAATAATGGACTACCTTTCCTTCATTCCATAGTGGGTTTTGCTCACTTTACGTGCTTTTGCTGGAATAACAATATTGACCCTCCTCCGATCCTCCCTTGTCTGTGTCATGGCCATTTTCTATTTAGGAGTCATTCGCACCAACGTTGAAAGTTTAGGTAGCTATGATTGAGCCAGTATGGGTCGTAGAAGAATCGAAATCAAGAAGATACTCAGTGAAAGCGCCAGAAGGACGACCTTTAAGAAGAGGAAAGAAGGACTTTTCAAGAAGGCTTATGAGCTGTCTGTTCTCACAGGCTGTAGGGTATCCCTTTCCATCGTCGAAAGCGAGAAGGGCGCTGAATATGTCTTCGATCCGACAGAGCCACAGCCGTCTAAGGATACAAATAGGGCTACTGAATCCAGAAATAAGAGCCAAGAACCCGTTTTGCCGGTAGAAGAAGTGATTTCGACAGCTTTGACGCTACCAGAAGCTAGCTCCTCATCAGTTACGGCGATCGAGCCTAGCAAGAGCACCACGATTGGCACGCCTGACATACAATCATTCGATACGTTGCTGTGGAGCTTCGACAGCAGTATGGACTTGATGCCTTTCACAGACTGCATGGGCATATCAGCTTGGGAAGAAACGTGGATGAAAGATTGTCTCGACTTTGCTGGTCTACCGCAAAGCATGCTCGCACCACAGTCAGCATTTACACCACCATGCTTCACCGACCCTTGCGGTCTTTCACTATACTCACCCTTGCCCTACTTAACACATGACTTTGGTTGGCTTACAGCAAACCCAATCCAAATGCCATCCTTTTTGTGATGGAAGAAGAAGTAGGCCACTCGAGGTATTCTGTATAGAATATCCGATTGATCACTACCCATCCATACAGATAGAGGATAACACGTCAGACATCGAATCAGCTAGCCATTTCTGGGCTGATCCATGATCAGCCCAAAGCAAAGGTGTCATCTGGTGGGTACGCCTTAATACGATGATGTGAGGGTATCGATGCAGAGTAGAGAGGCGTTCGACACCGCTTGAGAAAGCTTGGATCGACTGTCGTATTCATCGCCCTGCCAGGAAATGAAGGATCAAATCACCTCGTTTCTGGACATATACAATACCGTTGTATAGCAAACTACTGACTGAGTTTGTCCTATCAGGTCAGCCATTGTTACTTGACTTGAGTTATGAACCAAGTAAAAAGGTATCTCAATCTTGTTACTAATAGGAATTCAAATACACTTACATACCCCCACTACGATTGCAAAATGAAAAAAATGTAAACCGCACCTTCTTGTTCGTTTTCAAGAGCGTCATTTACGTTACAGGTGACATAGTACAATCGTGGTGATTTTTTGTTAGCTTGAAATTGTGATTCCTGATGATTTGCTCCGCGCTTCGTTTTGTCATAATGCCCACCACCTTTTTCGTCTCTCCCACTGGTGTCCACCTCTCTCTTACTGTGGACTGGACCCATATGCCGGCCGATGAGCGAACAAGAATGATCGATCTCTATAGCTATCTGCGTGTCACTCCACCAATAATCCCATGTTTCTTTAAATCCTTCAACCAAGTTCCTTTCTACTTCTACGCCTTTGCTTGCCGCTGGTCGCGATTTCACATCGAAACTATAACCAACCATGTATCAAATAATTTCCATTTATCCTTACAATCGGCGCTGTGACTGAAGCCATTCGCCGCTGTCACCTGGGTGCCGGTTTGTGTATGGTTCTAGTTCCTACATCTTTGGTGGGGGGTACAAGACCTATGCGAAGCTGCCTGACCTTTATAGTTAGACGAATTATATCAGTACAGCGAATAGATACAAAGGTATGTGACTTATTACTTAGTGAGCTTAGCCAAGTGAAGGTGGCGCGCCAACATAGATGGCTAAAGACTGGACGTTATTCGAACTCACAACCCCAGACGCATCCTCATTACCATCAGGGTTAACGTCATCATAAGGAAAGGCGTAACCTCTACCATCGACCTCATAAGAATGAACAATGCGGCTGTAGTGATTAGTAGGATTGACTGTATAGTAGGAACCCTGACCTAAGCTCGGCTGGATGTCGCCTCCATCGAGCAGAAGCGTTGATCGAACAAATGCGGCACAGATTCGGGGGACTATAGCTGCATGGATTGATGTATCACCTTCGGAGATAGCAAACGGGCCGCTGTTACAGCCCCAGATATCTTTACTGGTAGGTTTGGCGAAGCCACGATTGCTTCCTTCGCAGACGAGCTGATTGTCCGAAACTCTACACTTGACCTGGCTGGCATTTGACTGGGTGTCGATGACGAGGTCTTGTGTTGCGTACTTCTTCCATACCTCGTTTACATAGGTATCCCAATAGTCGTTGAACAGTTGAGCTTCGACCTCGTGCCGATTTCCCGGGGAGAGGACACGCACAGTCTTCCCCTCCGCGTTCGCAATACAGAGTGATGCCCAATCACGATGGTCAGTTTCTCTCAGTTTCATTAAGTCATTACAAATCTTGGTAACAGCATCAGCTACCAGCCCGGCAGTGGTCTGGGTACTACCATCCTTTTCAGTGAGCATCATGCCAAGCACTATACCGACAAAATCAACATAACTGATGTTAGCATATAATAAACCATTCATATAGGTCAATTCTACGAATCCCCAGTTCACGTCTGCATTGGGATCTTGTAGATTGGTAACCGAAGGTTGGACCACGCTATCGCCTCCTCCATTGTTGACAACAAAGAAACGGAGGTCGCTGTCTGCAAAGTAGACGCGACCTGAGCGAATAAATGGAGGGAGTGATACGTCGAGAGTCTGATTCTTGGAGCCTAAGGATAAGGTAATGTCTTCCGTAATCTCGCTTGATACATGAGGCTCTTTTGACTTGGGGTAGACAAGCTTACCGTTGGGGGAGAGAAAGAAAACCTTACCAGTAGCATCCAGACCGGATATGTAAGCTCTCACAGTCGCCCTATCCAGGTTATTAATCAGTTTTACCATCCAGGAAGCAGAGTCAGGAGCACGATGTTTCAAACCAGGAGCTTTGGGATTGCCTGACGTCCCAGCAAGTAGATTCTTTGGAGTAATTTCGATCGCATCAATGCCACCGGGGCCTGCTTTAAGAAAACCTTCTGGTGTTGCATCTGGTTTTTGCGAGCGTGGAATAATACGGAGTGCAGTGGCAAGCGAGATTCCTCCTAGTAGGCAGACAAGAATCGGGACACAACGCATAGTAATGAGATTGTTTATTTGATTCGACTTGAACCTGACAGCAATATATATGATGCCGCATATATATATATGTGTGTACTCACCCCTTGATTTGCCTTTGAGCTTATATAACTAAGATAAAATTAAAAAGGAAATAGTGCTTTGATATGTATACTACCAGGAAGATACTCTAAATCCTAAACTGGCCGAATTCGTGTCGCCCACGTTTCCAGTGCAATGTGATCTATTCAATCCTTCTGAGACCTATAATATATTCTTGGTGACTGAGATCCAGCCTTCGCCTCTCTATGGTATACTACACAGACACATCCCACTTTTGTGCGCCTTACTTGGTTGTGGACTCCGCCTTGTGGTTATATCTGGAGACTATGACGCAAAACGTTCTACGAAATTACATCATTTATGCTTATATATGTCAAGCAACTCGAAAAGGACTCGTGGGTACCTAAACATACTTAGTTCAACGGCTACAGTCAGTGAGCCCACCCGGGAGGTCAGGTAAGAAAAGACTTGTATGCATCTCGCCAACACCCTTGTTATTTGTGGCATCTGACACCAAAGCGCAGCAATCTATCGGGTCCATATCGCTGTTCATTTATTGATCAGAGGCCCATCAATGCCCATCCATGGCATCGAACATGATATCGTTGACTCTGGACGTGATGCCGGTATCCCGACTTTGGCTACCTCTCTTGGTCTGCACTGCTGCATTTTGGATCTCAGAGGCTCACACCACACTTCCCAATACTCACAACGTCGTATCCATTACTCCCCATGACCAATATTCTAGCTCCATTGGAGTCTTGGGTTGCAAAGTCGATACGAATCGGATCGCCTACTGGCCCTTAGAGGTCGGGTGCGACGGTATATGCGTCAAAGTCGCAAATAAGGGGCGGTTCCTTCATCTCCTTCGCATCGATAAGTCGCAAGGCGCGTACGATATCTCTTACGATGCTTGGAACTACCTGGTATTCGGTACATCTGCTGTGGAGGACTCCCATTTGGGTGGAGGAATTCAGATGTCTTATGAGATTGTAGATACATCAAAATGTCAACATCTACTCAAAGACGGTAAACTGCCTCTGTCAGCCGCGAATAGTATGAATTACGTCTCATCCTGTATTAGCCAGCCTACAAGCTGGGTCGCACAGGACTACGAATTATATAACATTTATGACTTGGTCTGCAAGTATGGAATCGACGAGAAATGCGACTTGGATCTCACCATAAGTAATCAACCACACTGTCCAGGTGGCTTAGGTAGTATGTTACAGCTTAACTCGACGGCAAAGAATGTCATGTACGCTACCGGAGAACTCATCCCGGCCTAACGGTTGGCATGGCGATGATGCATTGATCTGGCATACTGGGTTATGTTTCAACCGAACAAATAGATAGTCAAAACTATGTAGCGGCAACTCAATACGGTGCCAATGGTTCTTAAAGAGCTAACCACATTAGTCACGAAGATATCATCATGAAAAACTCAAGGCATTTGTATCTCTATATAGATCTGGTACCAGAAAGATATGTGATGTTGTGATGTTAACTGACTAGCTTGCTGTAGCATTCATCTCCTCTCCTACTTTGAAATATCCGATACATCTAATCTGAGAGCTGATTGCCCCTCACTTTTCGTCGCTTTGCGGCGGGCATGTTGACCTCTAGCGAGTGCTTCTTTCCTGCATGTAGGGGTTTCTGAATGTTGTCATTCAAGATCGCGGGTCGATTCACGGGCGTTACAGCTTTGAATACTGGTGCTGCTACGGCGTTGTTGTTATCCTCAACAACAGTCATCTCAATGTTTGACATCGGTGCATCGCAAGAACGATCTGGAGTGCACGATATTTTGTCGAGGTGTTTGTATTCACAATCATCGCTGATTGAACGTGGTGATTGGTGTGGATCCAAGGCGCTACTGCGCTTCTCGCTATTGTCCCTAGATAGCATAGCCAGAGACCGACGCCGAATCTCATCCAGAGCATCTTGCAGCTTCAATGCTAAGTGACATTCAGGGTGTAGAATTAAAAGGGTCTCCTCTAGCGTGTCTCGGCAAAGGTTTAACTGGCAGTCTTCTCGGACTGCCTGTTCAGACTCTGAGAGTTGGGCGAAGGCAGCATAAGCGGCGTCCCTCTGCCCAGGCCGAAAGTAAGGGAAAAACGAATTCATAGCCGTCAGCCGCAATCTGGAGTGGAGAGTATATCAAGTGATGCGCCGACCTTTTATGGGGGTCACCTGTACTTGATAATCTCAGGATCAGGTTCGCTTCAGCTGACTATGATGGCTACCGTGCGTCTGCATTTATGTAAAATAATACAGATAATCCAGCAAGGGAAACCATAGATTCGACAGCTTGATTAGTGGAACATGCCTTGAGAGTGGGTTACATGCATCGAGGCTTGTATCTGTGTGTACCTCGTTTACGTAGATTAGTTGTAAGTAAGTTCTGGCAGAAATACAAGCTGATCGTTGACGTACAGTCAGGTACGCCTTCACTGGAGCCTCTATCTTGTACGTACTTTAGGTAAAACTACTATTTTTAACCGACCACTCTTAGGGGGGAGAGGTGGGATCAGAGGGTTGGGTAGGAGCCGCTTAGTCCCTTGAGCGTGCCAAGCTGACTTGAGCGAGTATCTATTTATTACCATTGTTTGAGATATTTATAGCCGGTTCAATAGTGACTTGTAGAAGCGACTGCAGGGAAAGAGTATCTAGAGCCATGTTCTCGGCGCTGCAATTTGTTCAACAAAATCCCCGAAACAGGATATTACGTACTAACAAGACATCTGAAGCTAGCCCATACAAAAAGAGAGACTCACCAGGGGCAGGCTTTTACGCTGCATAATACTTAGTACACCGGTCTCTGCTACGTAACTGGATATAAATACAACGTATAGACTGCGATACCATATACAGCACGGATTCCCTAGTATTATCATGAGAAACAACAGGCCCGCCATGCAGAGTCAGTTAAATTGAAGCTGTCATCTCCACAGGTCACAACGTTGTGAAACCGCGTCATGTTATGGCTTATGCTGATGATGCCCGAACGCAGGTGAACTGGATAGTGCACACTAGCCTTTTCTGGACAAATGTGGCTGGCGTGAAAGCGGAGTGGAAATTTCAATGACGACCTAAGCGTACTGACTCATGGCTGGGCGCCACGGGCTCCAATGGCTCCACCGACTACTGGGAATGACAAATATACTGCTACCTCATCCGGGTTCAATGTTAGTCTTCGCGATGCCGACGGGGCTCGCCTCCGTTTATGGTCTGTGTGTATATTTGCGCCTCAATCCCTTTGGTAGTAGCGCTGTATGCTTCGACGATATTGACCAAACTAATGGTGGCTTCATCAAGCTGGGCGATATCAGACTCATTATTGGCCATTCACTGAGTTACCCTAGATAAACAGGCTCACTACTTGAGCAACACTTCTTAGTTGATACATCGACCAGTTGTCTACAAGACGAGTACTTTGCTCCCTTCCAAGTTAAAAGATTATAGAGCTTATATCTATTTGAATATAAACTTTATCCTCCTTTATTAAAATTTTCCAGCGTGCTGCTGAACACGGCGAGCTCTTGAACAAGGTTTTTCTTGCAATTTAATATTAGCCAACACCTGCTCATGAAAGAGAATCACTCTCAGATATTGTATTTTTATTTGGAGGGGGAAGAGGGGGGATGGGGGACTGTGCATTGAGGCTGCTTCCGAGTTTTTCAGAAGTCCCCAACATCCCATTACCGAAATCCCTAACTGAAAAAAAATCCACATGATTCACTAAAGTATGTGATGGAAAGTGGACCTGTATTTTCACATTCTAATCCATCTCGTCGAGATTATCACGATTGTCTGACGAGTGTGCTCGATACTTCGATGGG